GAACTACGGCTCTGTGTAGTAAATGCTGCTCCATCTGAAAGCATGTGAAAATACCACATTTAATAAAATGGTTTTACTCCAAACTCACTTCTTAACATCAGTCGAGTGTTTGAAATAAATCCTTCTGTGAGATGATGTGGCTTCTTACACAGAATAAGGCATGCAACATATTTCATAGTATTCTAAGCAGTGATAAAGGCTGTTGATTAACATTGCATTATAGATATACTTTATTATAATGAAAATTATAATAAGAACTCAGATAAACCATAAATTGCCGTAGTGGTGTGTTTATTAGTCACGTTGAATCAATATAAGCATTTAAATTGTCTGTTTATTCAGCAACCGCTATAGGCATTTCTTGGGTTTCTTCTGCGGGGCATATTTGGAGTTTCCGCACGAGAGCGCCCTCTGGCCTTCGGATGGAGATTTACTACTGATCACAGTACCGTGCTTCACTGAAAGATATGCATGACAATCGCAGCTTCTGTCTAATAGCGATTTCGATTTCATTTCGATTTATTGTGCAGCCCTACTAACCAGGCACAACCCAATACATTTTCCAGTGACAAGTAATTAGTTTGTCCACAATGAAATTCCAAATGTTTTGAATGCAAATCACAGCCAATCAAAAATGCTTGTGCTGTAATATACAGTTATGCGGACCACAACCCAGGACTGGTTAGCAGCACTTTCAACTGGTTAGTAAGTGAGATTTCTACTTGGCATGCAAACATTTGTGCTGAAATTAAATTTTGTATTAAATTAAATTAAATTTTTTAAACATTTATTAACCCCTTGGTATTGTTCCTTTAGTAGGTACACTTGTATTATTTGTGGTCAACACAGACTGGAGACCATAATTGTATAATAATTTTATTTTTATAAAATTAATGTACTATATTTCTTTTCATTAATGTTTTTTTTCTTTGATATTTGTATTTGGGGATTTCATGTTACTGTATTACAATATTCACATCTAAACTATGCCACCAATTTCATTGATGCATTATTCAAAAACCATTTAGTCTATCAAAAAACTCTTGGTAATCTTTTTCTGGCATTGTCTCAAGATATTAGGAGCCAATATGGGAAATGCGAGTAAATGTGGTAATCTGAAGAGACCAGTTTTAGGGGTTTTTTTTGACAAACCGCTCAGAAACTAAAGCAAAAATATCTATTTTTCATATCTCCTGACCAGTAGGTAGTACTGTGCCAAAAACTACTGCACATAGCCTCAGGTGATGCTTATGATGACATGTACCAAGTTTAGTCGGAATACACAAAAGTGTTGCCGAGATATAACCTCACATTCAATTGGGCGTCCTCTTCATCGAATTCATTCATGTGATACTCAAGAATGGTTGGGTTTATCAAAAAGCTTTTGATTACGTTGTTGCCAGTGTGGTCTGAAGATGATCTGAGCCAATTTTGGTATAAAAAATCTGACAAACCTTCTAGGACAAGTTTAAAATGGCAAAACAAATTTGACCCACAAAAATTTTAATTATTGAATGTATTTGACTCGGCATTAGCCAAGGAATCGGGGGGGTGGACCATCTTGAACCTTACAGTTCAGAAGTTATTAGCATAAACATATGTGTAACTTTAGACATTATGGTTTGAATTAGAGACTCCAGATTTGCTGTCCTCTATCAGTGTGCCAAATTTCACAACTTTTTACCGTACGGTTCTATGGGCTGCCATAGACTAAAGGCAGAAGATGAAGAAGAAAAAGAAGAAAACTAACAGATACAATAGGTGCTTGGCCCCAATTATTCATGACAATATGAGTGTTTTTACTCTGTTTTTAATTAAATAAATGGAGTCTTGGTGAGGATAAGAGACTTTTAAAAACATCTTGAACAGTATTGTATTTTACTGTATATTAGTTTTTTCAATAAATGTTCCAACTGGATTGTTCCAACGCCTGGAATGTACTTTTGACAAATAATAATTCACACATAAAATACCAGGGAAATGTTTCAGTTTGTAAAGCAAAAAGGTAAATTTAAGCCAAATTCAGTTTTTACAAAAAGTGTAAAAGAGTACTTTATTTTTGATTTCTTACCATAACGTAAGTGACGAACTTCAATGAGATGGTGGCCAGATACAGAGAATTCATGACAAAGTCCATGAGGTTCCACCAATCATGAATGTAATCCTGAAAGCCACCGTCCCACATTTGTTTGATCTCAGCCCACACAAATCCTGTAAAGCAAAGAAATTCAAGAAAATTAATCTGCAACTCTTTGAAATTCAAATCAAAATCTGTTCAAATCAGATTTTTCAGCCATAAATACATATTACCTAAAACCCAGGGTAAGATCATCCATTCCACAGTGGTGGGCTCTGGATGCTGCTCGAAGGGCTTTTGATTGCTATTGCGGTCAGCGTGTTGGGAGGCCAACAGCAGGAGAAAGAGGAAGGTCAGATAGGAAGCAGTGTGGCATATAAACTTGATGAAGGGTTTCCGGATGAAGAGGCCGTATTGGCTCTTGGGAGCGATCAGGTAGAGCAGCGAAAAGAAAGGGAAGAGGAATCCGATGAACATGCAGGTGATGAACTTGCTGGCCCAATGGCGGCGTCTCCAGCCTGAGAACTCATCGTACCAGCGAGATGCGAGCAGCTGCTGACAGTTTGGCTGTGCTACAAACTAACCACAGAATAATGAAAAGAGATTAAATTGACACTGAATGAACTAAAATAGTCTCTTACAGGAGTAAATTCACTGTTAACTAAATAAATCAAGACAAACAGTACATGTAATGTATACATTGAGTTATTGGGATTTTGCTGAACTTTAATTTAATGATCTGCTTGCATTTTCTCACTGGAATGTGCAGCAAAGCAAAATCATTTTCTGCTTTCTATCATGCATGGAGACTGTCATCACTTTCTGCAGTTGCATAAGAAATGCTCTCTGCAGAAGAACACGAGTAACGGAGCCATGTCCTAATGAGAAACAAGTGCCATTTGAAAAAGAGCAAACAAAAAAGGCACAGAAAGGCTTACAGTAACACATTGTTCTTTTCTCTCAGGCTGCTCTATCTGGTTCTCATCATATCTGGTTTAAATCCCTTTATGGATGTTGCATGAGAGCTTTTCTGCATCTTTTGCAAAACCATCTGGGCTGCACATGGAACCCAGCAAGCCAAACACTGACTTAAACATGTGACTGACATTTTGTAATGTCAGTAGCAGCGAAATCAGCAGACTACATATACTACATATATTTTGTAATTAAATAAAATTTAACAAATATAAATATGTATTTTATTTATTTCATTTTTCACAAAAGCTATATATTTATTTATGCACTCTCAGGGGGAAAAAATCCAAAAGCTGTCACTGGGGGGTGGTACATTTTAGGTAAAATGTACTCTTTGCGTACTAATATGCACTTTTAAGGTATTGAAAAGGTACCACCCCAAAATATATTTTTTTTATTACTATTTTATTAATATATTATTTATAGTGAAAATTGTTTTACTTTTTAACAAAAAAACTATCAAATGAAAATATCTTGACCACCTTTTAGGTTTAATTTCTCTTTTTTGTTTCTCTAATTTATGAAAGTCAAATAATGAGATAGAATGCTTTGGCCGTTCAGCCTAATTTGCTATCATCTGATTGTGATGTGGAAGATCTTCCAGAGGAATTTCAATGACTCAGCTATGGAATAATAAGATCCTGGTGGGCTTCTGTTGAATTACATACAGAGGCCACAGGTGAATAAAAGGCTTAATCTTCCACAGTTTGTAAGCATCCCTTCTTTCTCCATTTTCAGTCATGCTTAAGCAAGTGCAGTTCAATACAGTACCATACATATGCATGGCAAAGTAAAAGCCTGCAAGTTGATGTATGTCACATAGAAGCCTCTCCTGCTACCTAGTCACATAGAAATTTCCTTCTACCTTACAAACAGAAAGAGCTTGTAATGTTTAATGTGCACAGAAGGGGGCAACATAGATCCATATGTAGCATCCCTCTAGAGCAGTGGTTCCCAATTACGTTCCTGGATGTCCTCAACACTGGACATTTGGCATGTCTTCTTTGTCTGACACATCTGATTCAACTAATCAGCTCAGTAGTAGAGACTCCAAGACCTGGGCATCCATGTACATGGTTGGGAACCACTGCTCTAGAGGGAATAAACTACCTTCTCGTGGTGAAAATATTCTACTCCAGAGTAGAACTCTTTGGGTTTTAAAACCCAAAATTAGCTAAATAGAAAACAACACCGCCTGAAATATATTATCCACAACCTGTAAAATACACCATATTCAAGCACAGTCCCTGACTACTAACTGAAACAAACAACTATAAACACCTGTGTTTGTAATAATGAACCTTTGTAATACGCTCAAGTGCTGTTCCTATCTGGAGTGATTCTTTTGTGCTACTGCTAATGATCTTGAAGTAGTTGTAGATTGCTTTCAAAGCTCTTGTTGTCCAATGTTGATGTCTGAAGAGCACAAAACTCACCTCTTTCTGGTGGTACTTGATAGCCAGTTTCAACCTGGCGAGGTCATTATTCCCTTCATCATCCAGGAGATTAATATCATCCCTGTAGTTCAGAATCAGTTCGAGCTCTCTGGAGCTGCGGGTTTGGTCAAGGAGATCTTTGGCGAACTGCTTACACTGCTGGGAAAGCTCTTCATACTCAGACTTGAATTCATTCTCCACCTTGCTGAGCTCCTGGAGCTCCCAGCTGAGCTGGAAGGCTGTCAGGAAGGGGTCTTCGCTGGAGAGGGCGATGAGCGAGGGACTGGCCAGGGCCCGGTAGATGTTGAGACGGGATCGGGAATGTCGCAGGCTGTCCACGTCTGAGCTGGACACGCATTCCATGCAGTTGCAGCGCACCTGGTGGGGCTGGGGGATGGACACACCCTTCTGAACCAGCATCTTGATGATCTCATAGTTGTTGGTGTGAGCGGCCAAGATGATGGGTGTTATGTCAGGGGTAAAATCGGAGAACTGTTTATCCAAGAGGATAGGAGGCACCTTGAAAAGAAGGAAATCAGGGTTGATAAAGTTCACAATCAATTTCTTATTTTGTATTTTTGTCTTGTTTTCTAGTATAAATGTGCTTAAAACAAGATGCATCTGCTTGAAAAAGCAGAATTATTATTTTCAAGTTGAATCCTGTCAAATCCTGTTGGAAAATATTTCAAGCATAAACCTAATTAATGGTTGATTTCTCAGAAAACAATACCTTTCCCAGTAGTATCTTTTTTAATGATGTTTTCACTGGAAAACAAGACAAGAATACTGGGTAAGAAATTGATTTGTTGTTAAAGAAGCCACAAGCTATCATTGTAAACTTTAATCCCAGGGTGCTTCATGGTGTCTGTCTCTACAGTAAATTAAATTCCATGCAAGGCAAGGCAAGTCAATTCAGTCAGTCAATCTTGGTTACACCCCCGGGCAGATATTTTTTGTGCAAGCTATAGATAAACATGTAAACAGTAGCTGATGTCTACTTGAGTCAACCAACTCATCAAAAAGCTGATTGGCACTTTTAACAGAAAGGTGAGAGATCCGTTCCTCTTGCCACCATATTAATCAGCCTACTTAAATTTCTCACATTCAGTTGTCTACAAGCAGTCTGGGTCCTCCCCCTGTAGCGTCTGTAAATTAACAATTAAATTGTTGCTAAATGACTGTATATACACTACTGTTCAAAAGTTTGGAGTTGGTAAGATGTCTCTTATGCTCACCAAGACTGCATTTATTTACTGCACTTGTGGACAATAAAGTGACTAAACTTATTTAATTAAAAATATATTACAATTTGAAATACCTTTCATATTTTGAAATGTAATGTATTCCTGTGATGGCAAAGCTGAATTTTCAGCATCATTACTCCAGCCTTTGGTGTAACATGATCCTTCAGAAATTATTCTAATATACTGATTTGGTCTTTAAGAAACTTTTCTTACAACTATCAAGGTTGAAAACAGCTGTGCTTCTTAATATTTTTTGTGGAAACTGTGATGCATCCCCCCCCCCCCCCCCCCCCCCCCCCCCCCCCCTCCCCCCTCCCACAGCTCCTACCATAGCGCGAAACTA